AGAAAAAATCTGGGCCATGGGTACAAAACATACCAAGGGACTGAAATGGAACCTAAAGCTATTGGAGAACCATGTAAATGCAAACACAAATGTAGAACAAAGCCTGATGGGGAAAGAACAAGAAATTTTTCATGCATTTTGGAATCTGGGGAATCGACAGCAACAAAATAACTACTTATGTGATAGAATAAAATGCATTCCCAAAAAAATCAAACGCCAAACATCTTGTAGAAGTGTATCTGCGACAAAGAAAGATTTAAATTTGAATTTTTGGCAGTTCAACAGATAGACATTCTTTGCCGTGAAAAAAGGGTTGGGAATCAAAAATATTGAAAACCAAATAAGAGGTAGACCAACACAGAAATGCGATGAAGCAATCGAAAATATATTGGAGAAAAGAGTAGTGACGTGGACAGATGTACGAATGAACACGAAACCGCAAATAATAAATAATTGTTACACAATCTCCTTCCTTGAGATTGGGTAACCAACCCCAAAGGCTGACGAGAAAGGGAGAACTGGTCCTCCGAAAAGGGGGTTGGTGAGCAAGGTTAGCAGCCTACCACCTACTGTCAAAAAAATCAATGCTTATAGAACCGAACAGAAGCCTCGGAATTGGACGGATACACAGATGACGAACCACGTAAGAAAAAAGACAAAGAGACCAAATAATCTCAGAATTCGCACTTGGAAAAACGCATCGTTGAACAAACGGGAACAGAGAGTTGTGCAGAAATTGGAGTTCCATAAAATTAATATATGTGCCCTGAACGAAATAAAAAGAAAGGGAAAGGAAGTGCCAATAGAAACAAATTTATATTCCTGTACAGCGGAGTATATAAAAGCAAACGATCTCAGGCAGGAGTAGGCATCTTAATGCACAATAAATATAGTGTCATCAACGAACACATTTGCCTGAAACTTCACCAGACGATACTTGAATGAACAACAACAAAAACAAGGAAGACAAAGATGCTTTTTATGGACAGCTCCAAGATCTACTGGACACCACAATAGCCAAACAATAATTCTCGACGACCTAAACGCCAGAGTAGCTGGCATTTAGGTCGTCAAAAACAAGAAAAAAAGACTGGAACGAACATGTAAACCGAATGGGACCAGATAGATTAACGAACATTTGTAAAAACAAGCCGTATAGCAGAAGACCCGTTGGAAGGCCCCCAAAAAAGTGGAAAGATAATGTAAGTCAATAACGACTGAAACAGAATAAGAGGCAGACAAACAGGAGTAATCTTAGTCGCACGAAGAAGACACAAAATTTTAAAGGTTTGTTAGTCCTATTAATAGGGACTAAAATTCGAACTGTGAGAAGCGTGGGAGGCAAAAATATTGAAAAACAAAAAAGATACATTGAAATATTAAACAAAAAGGCTTGTCCGTTCTTATTGATAGTTCTCCCATCAATAAGGACTAACAAGGAATAGACATTGGTCCTTCGAACCAAAGAGAACTAAGAAATCAAGGAAAAAACTTCTTACATAAATTGAAAGCCATACAGTCAGATTATTACTCGATATATGAATGTCAAAATTGTAACATTAAACTAACGAAAACAGAAACATTTTAGATCAAGTCCTAAAAAAGTATATTTTGGGGTTGATTTCAGATGTTTTCGTCAAATTCCTGGTGTTAAACCACCCAAAAACAAACTTGTGTTTCTCTTGGTGAAAAAGTTTTGCAAAAGTTTCAGATTTGTTGATTGCTGTCATTTTAATGTGAATTTCTTTTCAAATTTTTAAAAATTGAATGCTGAAACAAGTCTATGAAAACTACACCGTGTCTTTTTTAGTCGTCAGACTTCATGGGTAAAAGAAAAATACTTTAATACTTCACCGGGTCAGTCTCTTATATGAACACTTATTAAATAAATACGTAGGAAAATAATGCAGAGTGCGCAACGTTTTAGTTTATTCCCATATACACGTCATAATTCTCGCCACTAGATTTCAACGTGACTGTAATTGTTTAATTTGGGCCACCTATATAATAAACATGGCGCAGTCTGGTTTACGAATAATAGGATACTACTAAAAATTGTCAGAGTAGTTCTGATCTTATTGAATTTGTCGTGCATTAATACTTTTAAAAACTAGAAAATACTGCTATCTTACGTGTTTCTTATGTGTGACGACTATTCAGATTAAAGAATCCTATTGGTTAACCGCGCTAATGACTAGAATAAGTCATTATGGATTAGAGCGTAATTTAAATAACAAAACTTAACAATTGAGATCAACAAAACTATCAAACGTAAACTCTACAAAAATTTGTCATATTTTGCTGAGACATTCACTGAACAATAAAAATATTTAAATGGCAGAGTAAATACAGGTAAAATCAAGAATATGGTAGCAATAAATGCAAGAAACAACCTGTCAATGAAACTTACATGTTGATTTCACTGTATTTCTTAATGACATAATGTATCTAAAAGCGTGAGTTACAAAGTCGTTAACAATGATACATCCTTTGTTCAATTAATACTTAACAACTTAACTGTTTAACATATTATATTCAAAAAAGTCCTTTAAAAATGTAACTTATCAATTAAATGGTGTTACATACTTTCAAGTTCTATAAAACTTGACAACACTGTTCATTTTGACAGCTGTCAATGTCATTATTAATAGACTGACGCCTGACAACGCTTATAAATTTGCAAGTTTTGTTCGACTCTGTTGATAAAACGTACCATGTTGTTGTTGCTGTATTTGTTCATGTTCACTAAGATTTTCTTACAATATCATGGTTGTCTCACTGATAATCCAATTCAAGACAAGAATTCAAATTTCCTTGAATTCTTCACAAGAAAATCTTCCTCAGTGATGATGTTTATTTTGGTTGACTGGCTTCATCGATGACATTTTAAGTAAAGATAATCTCCAAGCCTTTGTTTTGCTAGAGATTCTGTTAAGTTATCTTCATATACCTACAGTATATCAAGGGCGACTACTGGAGATGAGAACAATATGCGTCATATTATTACTGACCCAAGTTTAGCGAAACTCTTGATTGGATATTTACTTCTAAAAACCACCACCCTTATCTTTTACAATGAACATTAGAACATTTCTATTTAAATATGCGAGAGACAGGTAAATTTTGTTGGAAAATCCAGTTGATCCAGCACATCCATCTAGCTTACATCTAACTTTAGGGCGTAGTAGTAACATCAATCCTGATAGGATTGATGGTTTCTATGTAAATTATGCAACGAGATGCAATAAAAATGCAACGAGAGTTAATATGGCGATAGCAATTATCTCTATGACAAAAAGAAGACGCCGGAATGTCTACTAGACGAAATTACTGCTTCGTCGGGCTACACCAAAGGGTTTACCAGATTATGGACCAAGATACGATTAGGATGAGCACATTCAAGGAATAATACTTGGTAGCTACTTTTGGGGCTATTCCATATTTTCATTACCTGCGGGAGCTGTTTCTGAGTTATGGGGTCCAGCAAGAGTTATACTTTGGACCACAATAGTATCGCTGATTTTAAATTCTGTCAGTGTTCCAGCAGCTATGGGTCATTATGGATTGCTGGTTGCCTGTAGATTTCTCATTGTAGCAGTAGGTGGATTGGTGTATCCAGCTCTTCAGGTATTAATAGCAAAATGGGCCCCACCAGCCGAAAGGGCTTTGGTCGGTTTGGTTATTACTCAATGGGGTTGGGGATTTCATGTTATCACAATAGAACTAGTTGCAATTTGTATAGGTTTCCACTTTGTCTGAGCCGATAGTCCCGAAGACCACACATGGATTTCCGAAGAGGATGTTGCTTTTATCAAAGAAGCTAAGGGGCATCAGTTACTAAGAAAAAGCATGCACCTCCATACCAACAGATTTTCCTGAGTTTTCCCTTTGGATGTTAAATATTTTACAATTCGGAAATTTGTGGGGTCTCTATTTACAACTGCAAAGCGTGCCCAAATTCATGGCAGAAGTTGTTGGTTTTAGTCTTAAAGAAGCAGGAGTATTAGCAGCATTCTCATCTAATGAGAATGTTCTTTGGCACTGTGTATGAGTATCTTGGAGATAAATTAAAGAGGAATAAAGTAATGTCTCCAAAAGCTATAAGAAAATCGTTTATTCTAGCATCTCATATTATACCTGGAATATTGATATGTGTCATTTTCATAGGTTACAATTGGGTGTCATTAATAGTTTTATTACCGTTGAGTATGGCTATTAATGAAGCAGCTGTATTAACCAATTTACAGAACCCTCAAGATCTAGCACCCAACTTTTCAGGTTCTATTTTCGGAATTATTAGTTGTATAGGTGGTACTACTGGATTCTTAGCACCCGCGATTACAGGAGCATTTATTCAGGAGTGGTCTTATAGTCGACGGATGCGTTTACATTGGAACTGGAATAATCTTTATTTTGTTTGGTAGTGTTGAGGAGCAATCATGGATTAGGTTTGCAGATACAGAAAATCGTTAGAAAATCTTAAAATCAGTACAAAGTGTTGATGTCAACGGGTTTTCTTTAATCGTGTAGACCTCTTTAAATGGTTAAAATTATAGCTAGCATTAAATCAGAACTACTTTTAAGAAATATGTGTACTATAGTTTAAAATAAATGAGACAAAACCAAGTCAAATATAGAAAAAGAAAAGATCAAGACCGGCTTAAATTATGACAAAACTGTTTTCAGTGACAGCCATTTTGACAGCTGTCAGTGTCATTTATGTATTTGGCAAATTTATTTTTTTTGTTATTTCTAAATAGCAAATATTCCTATAATATTCTTGATTTTACTATATATAAATAGGGTGAGTCAAAAAGATTACCTGTAGATTCCAGAGAAATTGCAAAATAACATTAAAATAATTGGCATGTGAAAAATAGACTAAATACATAAAAAAGCTGATTAAATAGTTAATTTAAATGATGTTAATTTACATATTCACATGCTATTTATAATACTTATACATTTAACAAAAAACAGAGATTCTGAAAACTGATCATAAAAAACTTTAATAAAACACTAAACAAAATTTTGAAGAACTCGTCAAAAATTCTTTAAAACTACCTTAAAAAATAATAATAAAAACTTTAGTACCTTATTCTCTCTTAATATAAACCTTCTTAAAATATCTCTCTTTTGATGAGTTCTCAATGATAATGCGTATAAAACTTTGCTTCACCCTGTACAATCAAAATAGGTATAAAATAACTTTTTTGAGCACCCTAAAACAATCGATAGAAGAATATCTTCAGAAGTTCTGTGATCTCTTACGTTTTGTGTCCATTGCATCAAGAATTGGTTGTCTTTTTACCTGATACCTTTTGCGAAGTTCATCAATCTCTCTCTCCATATCTAGATCTAAAGTGTTCATTCTTTGTTGCAGTTCTTCGAAACTTAAATACTTTAACTAAAAAGAAAATGCTATTAGTCGACTTCAGAATAGTGGAGAGTAAAACAATATCGTCACATGAATGCAGAACTATCCTAACTCAAAAAATTTATTTTTTTCGTTTATTCCATATAAATGTAAACCATATCATATTTTTTTCATGCAGAACAATCTTAAGTTAATATCTTTAAATTTACAGGTAGAAATTTTGTATAGAACATTATAATCCTAACTGGTCAATTACTATTTTATCAGTACAGAATAATCCTAAGTACATACAAACGCAGTTAGGATAGTTCTGCATTTTCAATAACAATGAGCGGCAATATTTTTTTTGTTGTGTTCTGTTTACTTAGGATAAATCGACGGTTATCGGTTAGTTCTCAGTTAGTAAATTCCATCATCTTGTTGGATATTCACGTTTGTTCTTTTATCAAATTGAATCGCAGTGAGTGTGAATTTTAAAAATAATGATGAAACGAGGTAAGTTGTAATATGTTTTATGAGTACCTATGTTTTGATATCTATTAAGTGTAATTTAATGAAACTGTCTTAGTTTTTAAGATTCTTTTTAACCACACATATTTCGGACATTTATCAAACATGTTTAATAATTCAAATTTATACTGAACAACGGGTTGCTACAGACGGCAGTACCAAGACATAATACTACATTAAAAAGTTTGGGAATAAATTATTATTAAGACAAATTGTAAATTTGAACAAGTGTAATAACAGTTTTAACGTACGTTACGGTTTCTGAGCATTTTAATTTGTATCAATTAATTTGAAATGTCTGAAATAAATGTTTTCTTGTCATGCAGACTGTAAGCTCCTTGTAAATTTGTTGCAGGTGCGTTGATGGTAAAAATGGCTATGTCTATTAATTCAACACAACATGAGAATTCTGGAGAATCCAATAATGATATGGTAGGTAGTTCCATATCTGCAGCTACGGTAGAAAACTTTCCCACATTTTATAGTAAACAGCAGGACTACAGAGTTCAAGACGAATTAAGATCTCTACACTCCCCCATAGACAAAGACCAACAGTATTGCCATCTTCAGAATAGCTCTCAGAATTTTCCTACACATGTGCATAATACCGTAGTTCTTGAGACACCGATAGAACAGCAGTTCTCCCAACATTATGATCAATATACCCAGTTACCCACACCTACCTCCGTAGGGCTACTAGTACCTGAATCAGAACAGTATCGATTATCTCAGAATATTTGTTTGGATTATTATACACCTGTAAATAACATCATAGATCTTCAAACATCCATAGAACAACCACATTTGCAGCAACATGATGAAGCTAAAGATTCCCATAATCCTACACCTAACGTTGTAAACAATGCAACACTTGTTCTTCAAGAACAAGTCCTTCAGCGCCAAGATGATATTACGTGTCCATCGACATCTACCGGTAAGCTTTTACCGACTATCTCTTCACAAACTGATGAAAATAGTGACCCATATGCTACAGATGGAAGCTCAGATATTGATTTTAATCCAAATGATTTTGATTCTTCAAGTTCTTCTGATGAACGTGATCGTCATAGTTCAATTGCAAAACAGCAAGATGTCCTATTTTTTGCGGAAGAAAACCCAGAAATCGCCAAGTCGCGTAAGCGAAAAAGTAACCCAGATAATTGGAGGAGAAATAAAATAAAGAAATTACGAAACTCCGGTAAGGCCTATGTAAATTGGAAGTCCAAAGAGGTTTCAGAAAGGATTATGAAACCGCCATGTCCCATAACATGCAGACTTAAATGTCAAACGAAATTTCACGAAACACATCGCGTCCAGATATTTCAAGATTTTTGGAAACTAGGAGATATTAATTATCAGAGAGAATTTGTTTTGAGGAACTTAACGGTAAAGCCTACAAAACACCCCAGAAAAAAAAGGACGCAATTGAACTTCCAGAAAGTGGTACTTTAAGCAGTGTTACTGAAAGTCGTAGAAAACTATCCTATTTTTATACTTTTCCACAAGAAAATTGCCCAGTCAATAGAATCAAGGTATGTCAAACGTTTTTCTTAAATACTCTGGGAATAAGTCATCAAATCGTCAAAACAGTAGTTAAAAAAACTCATCATTCAGATTCAATATCGCCACAAGCAGATTTACGAGGTAAAGTACAATGTAATTCTCGATTGCCAAAACATTTTAAGGATTCAGTACGTCATCATATTAACTCCTTTGCTTTGATCGAGAGTCATTATTGCAGAAAAAATAGCACTAAAAAATATTTACCTCCTGACCTCAATATTAGCAAAATGTTCCGTTTATATAAAGCATATTGCAGGGATAACAATATAAGTACCGTAGCTTCTTATGCTATATATAGAGAGGTATTTAACAATGAATTTAATTTGGGATTCTTTATTCCCAAGAAGGACCAATGCGATTTTTGCAACAAATTTTCTAATTCTTCTCAATCAGAAAAGGAAGAACTTCGTTCTGCAATGGAAGTTCATCTTAAAAACAAGGAATTATCTAGGGAAAATAAAGAACTAGACAAAGAGAGAGCTAAAACTGATAATTCGTTTTGCATGGCTATATACGACTTACAAAAAACGTTGTTATGTCCTAAAGCTGAAGTATCTCTCCTTTACTATAGACGTAAGCTCGCATGTTATAATCTGACTGTGTACGATGCTGCTAACAAACAGGGATACTGCTACATGTGGCCAGAATCGCTAGCATGTAGGGGTGCTTGTGAAATTGGTAGCAGCATATTAAGTTTCATTGACGAAATGGTACGAAATGGAATTAAGGAATTCAGTTTCTATAGTGACAACTGCCCGGGGCAAAACCGCAATAGATTTATATATTGTTTGTATATGTATTGTGCCGCCAAATATGACGTTAAAATTACTCACAGCTTTCTAGAGAAGGGACATACACAAAACGAGTGCGACTCCGTACATGGGGTTATAGAAAGAGCTGCTAAGAAAATACCCATATTTAGTCCACAGCAGTGGTATACATTAGCAAGGACTGCGTGTAAAGTGCGGCCTTATAAAATTAAAGAAATGGCTCAGACAGACTTTTATGATTTAAAGGACATGTTAGCCAAAACTACAAAAAATTGGGATAAAACTGAACATGGTTGCAAAGTCATATTCAGTAATTTAAAAGTTATTATGGTTGACCCAAAATGTCCACACGAACTTAATGTTAAATATAATTTTGAAGAAGATTTCATAAAAATTAATACTCTGGAATTGAAAAGGAGCTACCACAAATTAGATTCATTAGAGACTTATCAACTTAAAATATTGAGAAGCTCACCGGTTCCAATTTCTTCTGCGAAATATAAAGACTTAATGTTTTTGTGCGAAAACAAAGTTATACCTACGGAATACCATACTTTTTTCACTAATCTTCAAGGTAGCAACAATCCCGAACCGGAAACTGATGAAGATTAATTTAATATTAGGTTAGATTATTAATTAACATATTATTTGACTATTTCACAGTATTTTTTTGGTATTTTTATTTTGAATTGTAAACCTTTAATGAAAATTAAAAAGTTGTAAATGTTACTAATTTTTATTATTTGTATCCCATGTTGACCTTAATTTTTTGTAAGCTTGAAATTTATAAATGCAGAAGTAGTGTATGTACCAAAATCGCACTTACAATAGTTCTGCAGTAGAATTTCTAAAACAGTAGTATCCTAAGTCACACTTTTTGGAAAAAAACTGTCATTTACCTGTTTCATTCCTAATAACATATTTAAAAGGTTCTTAATATAACATAATAAAACAATTTCATCATTTACTCCAATAATTTTTAAATTATGCCACATTGAAATATTAAAATTGCTCTCCTGTAAAATATCTTAAATGTGAGTTAAGCTAGTTCTGCATTCAGGTGACGATATGTTGCCAAAACAATAATTTTGTTATAGCTAATACATTGTTCAAAATGCCAAAGAGAAGACTATATACCTGGAAGTCACCAGCAGATCAAGAAGAGAGAATTGTAAGAAACTAAATAGACTATATATGAGTTGGACAAAGATACATGAACGCAATTATCCAAATCCCTATAGAAATCTTAAAATGCATGAATGATGAAAGACACAGTTGATTTATTTAATTCAGTATACCTGTATAACTTTTGTGCTACCCTAAAAATACAAACGCTAAATACAGTGAATACAGAACAATATCACTAATAAGTCTCATTCTCAAATTATTCCTGAAAATAATACATATTCGTATAAATAAAAAAATGGAAGAAGGAATAGATGATAGTCAGTTTGGGCTCAGAAACGGACTAGGAACCAGAGAAGCGTTATTTGCTTTTAATGTGTTAGCTCAAAGATGAATGGATATGAATGTTGATGTGCATGTTTGTTATGTTGATTTTGAAAAAGCATTTGACAAAGAGGAAAAATTAGTCCAAATTTTAAAGACAAAAAACAGACCATAGGGACTTCCAAATAATAATAAACCTCCACTGGAATCAAAGAGCACAAATCGTAATAGATAACGAACCCAGTCCAGAAATTGAAATCAGGAGAGGAGTTAGGCAGGGGTGTAATTTAATGTATATAGTGAATCCATTTTTGAAGAAACATTACTATCTCAAAGTGAAGGAATAATAATTAATAGAAGATCTATTAACAACATAAGATATGCAGATGACACCGTGATTATGGCAAGCTCTGCTGAACAACTCCAATTACTGCTTAACAAATCAAACGGTTTCTGTGAAAAATATGGACTAAAAATGAATATAAATAGACCAAATACAGGGGAATTTTTATGGACAAAAACAATTAAGTTTGTTAAGATTTCAGTAACCAATATTATTAATTATATTATATAGAAGAGAGATTCTTAAGAAGCAAGAAATTCTGTGACAGTGGAGGAAATCATGAGAATCCACGCAACCTCAACGACCAACCATGCTGGAAACTCTACAGCAAGCAATGCGGAACCTAACAGCTAGCAACACTAGCATAATGGATGTAAAAAAGTGAAAACCACATCTCCAAAGTTTTCTGGTGTTGATACAGTGAGTACAAAATATTTTATTTAGAAAGTTACAGGAAGAACAGATCCCGAAAGATACATTTTGGAGAATTGCCTGTACGGAGAAGAACTTCAATGGATACTGCTATTTGGCTATGTTACTCAGAACTAACTCTGCGAGAACTAAGAAAAATTATCAAGAATCTGTCAAAATACCTAACTCCATACCTAACTGCGTACGAATTAAGTTTCAATTCAGATCTTCTTTTTCATAGACAGCTGCTTTCTTCTTATATAATATCCTTAGGGTAGATATCTACGGTTGTGGATTCTACTATCCTCCACATCCACAAACTCATATTAAGAAAATATTGTAAAGTATCGAAATTCTTGAAATTGTAGTTAAACAATTAACTAATTACCCTAACAATAAACGTTATAAACGAGGCAATTAATATTTTTAAATTTTAGTAAGTACTTACAAATTCGAAATCTCCATCGGTGAAAGGCTGATGGTAATGGGGTTTTTGTTCTATAGGTTGAGCCTGCTGCATCGGGGAAGGCGGTTCTGCTAGCTTCACCTGAACGTTACTTTGAAAATTTTGTTGTTCGGTTGAAGTGTCAATTGTGTCTAGTGTTATAGGACTAGACACCCCATTTCCCTACAACATCAAAGACTTTTAATATAAGATAAACAATCTTCCTTCTGAATTCCAAGGTATGTGGATATCAGTGATTGGACACAGGAAATGCATGCACTGACAAGTAATGATTCTGGGTTGTATAGAAAACTGTAAATTGTAAGAGTGAGATTATACTGCACTTTGGTTGGATTGTTAGTGTGTTAACAAAATTGTACTATAAATGATACAAATAGAATTGAAAAGGTTTATTACTGCCTCAAATGCCTCTTCTTCTTTGAGCGCCATGCCGAAATTAGGCGTGGGTAACTTCCATGACTATTTTCGGATATTGTTCTCGCTCTTGCGCAGCGTGTAACAATTCATCTGCCGATAAAACTAGTTCATTTACGAAGGTTTTGAAGGCATGAATATTCTTTCCCACCAAGTCCACTTTTTCCCCAATCTTTCCGTTGGGTATTAACTGTAGTATCCCAGTGTCTGCTCTCTCTCATTAGATGCCCCAGATATTCAAGTCACCTTTGCCTTGAGCTATTCTGTAAGACTTTGTTTGAAATGCCTTGAACCCATGATATTTCCCTTAAAGATTTAAAATCTCTGATAAGTGCTGGTCCGTCCATAGTGAAAAGAACAGTTTAACAACAAGAAAAGTCATCTTGCTGCCTCAAATTTGGAATCTCACCTTGGTTCTCGTGTTTTTTAAAGTACTCTGCGATACATAGTGAGTATCAACATTAAATCTCCTCAGTTGTTCTAAGAATTCGTTATATTATGAAAATTTGGTCACTTTAAGAAAGAAAATGGAAAGAACAAAATAGTTACCTTAACTTCAGCTTCCTTTCGATCAAAATGTTCTAAAAACATTGGCCTGTACTTCTTTCCACCTTGTGAATTGGTGTCATGGCCTGTAAAAATAAATATCCCCTTTTATAATTTAATATAATTGACTTTAACTAATATCCAAAGAATGGTGCTGAAACTATTCTGGCATTTCGGACTCATTGTTGACTTATTTAAAGTGTGCAAGTGCATTGTTGACTTATTTAAAGGGAATAAACTACAATTTTCATTAAACATCTGGTTATATTTAACCTCGGAAATAAAAATGTCAAATATAACATATTTATCAAGAGTGTGGTCAATAATCATTAAAGACAGTAAATAATATCAGAAGATTCACTACAAAGACACTAATAAACTGGGAGAATTGTTCTTAACGAACAAGAAATCCCATCCTGCAGTTCCGTCTTGTGTTAATGAAGTAGACTGCTGCCAGGACTGTGGGGGTAACAACACAGAATATAAAGATGTATTGTACCTTGCTACGAGGATCCACTAGAGGCACCAGACTGCATCTTTTCTATTACGCCTTATTCAATCATCGAGAGCTGTATAGTAAAGAACCTCCTAGGTACAAATAAACTTGGTGGTGGAACGATGAAGTGCAATATAAGATTAACGAGAAAAGGTAGGAGAGGTCTGAAACAGAGCAAGGTAAGGATACATACAAGAGCAAACAGCGCTGTAGCTACTGCTAAGGAAAGATCGTCTGCAAAGGTTTATGAAAAGTCTGAAACATCCGACGGGATCAAAAGGTTATACAGAATTCCTAAATCAAATAATAAGGATCAGCGACTATGGATGAGAGTCTTAAGATCCGATGTTGAAATAAGCAAATATGATATGAGTAATTCTTAAAGTTGCTAAATGAAGAGCACCAGAGGTTACACAGAGGATGCAGGATCCCAAATAAGAATGTAACAGCGGCTTTAAATAGGATGAAGAAGAATGATAACGCTGTAGGATCTTATGGAATACGTGTGGAGGTATGGAAGGCTTTAGGAAAGGAAGAGATTGATGTGCTGTGGCAAATAATGAGCAGGATATATGAGGAACAAAAAATGTCCAATGGTTGTTGGAAGGAGAGCGTTATAAAGATATAAAGGGGACATTCAGCACTGTAAAAAAGGGAAAAAGCTGAGGAAGATTTTTCTCCTATATTTTTGGAACATAATTCTAGGGAAGAACAACATTTTTGCAACGAACATTATTAACAGACTCAGGAAGAGACATTAGTTTCCACATTATCGGATATTAGGAGAGATTTATACAAATCTCGGAAAAATGATGAGCAGAAGAAGAGATACCAAATAAACAAACCCTCAAGACTGCATCTCGAGGGAGTACGAACTACTACAAGGAAAGACTGTTAAAAATAATTGTAGGCTAAATAATTGGTACAACATGAGATTTTGATACTATTAAAAAAAAACATAGCCTTTCCCCCATTTTTGTCGTCTTACATATTTCAAGGATTAGTACCTATAATGTAGAAAAATCAAGAGATGGTTAAAATAACGATTAACATGAATAACTACAAATAATTACCGATTTTGGTTTTAAATATTAAAAAACATTCGTACAGGACTTAAAACAAATATAAAATAAAACTTACGTTTCATTGTTTGATCATCCACGTCACTGTTTATCACCATAGTACCTAATTCAGACTCTATTTCTACCAAAGTGCCACTGGGTGACAGAGGTATCAGCGTACCACCCTTACTAGGAACTAAAGTACCTTCGTCCGCGCATGAAACAATCGTCTGATTCGCTAAAACGACGTCTTCATCCTAAATATAACAAGGAAACGACATTGTAAGTACTAAGTAATTTGGAGAAGTTAAAATACTTACAGATTCTTCGTTGACACTTTTATTCAGTCCTTGGAGATTCGCTATCGTGTGAATATTCTTGTAGCTTTGATTCTCTCTTATCTCATGAGCTTCTTGTATCATTGTGTTTAGAATACTTGATGATTTGACATTTTCTGTAAAAAAATTAGTAATAAATAGGACTAAACAATAAGTGTTTCATATGTAGAACCAAAATTTAAATTATAGTGTGAGAGTTATGCTGTGTATGATTTAATGGATTACTTACTAACAAATTCGTGGTTAAGAAGATCACTGGCTGAAGCACGTTCTTCGGGGTTTTTAACCAAGCAAATGCTAACAAAATCTATAAATTCGGTGGTCCACTTGTCGGGTTCTCGAAACGAGGGGGGAGGTTTCGTAGGTATCATAAATATAGCTCTCATAGGATGAATATCACCATAAGGAGGCTTGCCTTCGGCCATTTCTAAGGCAGTTATTCCGAGACTCCATATGTCTGCCACACAATCATAACCTATTTCCTGAATCACTTCTGGTGCCATCCAGAATGGGGTCCCTGTAAATTGAATAAATCTATGTTCAGAATACATTAGAATTTCAGCTACAGCTAATAGTATGTTTTGTTAGAAAAAAGTACTTTTAAATTTTAAGATTAATATTAAGTAAACCAAAATTATGTATATAAGAAAATTAGGCCTTAGCAACAACACATAGAAAAGAAGAAAAGATATTCTCACAATTTTTTTTTATTTCATTTTGAGCATTATTGATGGGTAGCGGGTAGGAACTCTTCGGACAGTCCTATCAGGGAAAAGGAATCGTTCCCTACCCTCCGCAGATTCCAGGGGTTTCCTAGCACTACTAAACTAGCACCTGGTTGGAGTCCCTTGTCCAGGGTTCCGGATGAAGACCACAACGGTAAACTACGGCGGAGAAGCAAACCACCGGTACGGCGTGGATGGCGGAAGTGGCAGTCTCGTGATTTTATGGCTGGTATAGAATCAAGCAGCGTCTGATCCAGAATGGACGGTTGCAAACAGCGTCTTATTCCAGGTTAGGGGCAATTGAAATCTGAACTCGCCAAACCGTTCGGCAAGCGTGGCGTTTTAATTGCCATTTTCCCTTCAATATATTCATGCATAAATCGAGATCCAAAAATATAGTACCCCAGGTGGGTGAGTTTCTGAGTACTCAGAATCCCACTCCAATATGGACTTCCTCGCAGATTCTGGGGGAGGCAGAAGATTAAAAATACATGACAATAATAAACAAATTAATTCTCAAAAATTAAAAATTGTTACATACAATATTAGAACAATGAGAACGAACGACCATTTAGAGGAATTAGAGCAGGAACTAGAGGCTATTAAATGGGATATTGTACGCTTATGTGAAACGAGACTTCAAGCATAAAAAGACCACCTAAAATCTGGGCACACTCTATACCAATATAATTCAGAAGAGAACCACGGTCAAGGAGGAATGGCTTTCATGGTCAACCGAAGAATAGAACACCAGATTGTGAAATACTCAGCAGTGTCGGAAAGAGTGATATATCTTGTATTAAAACTGAATAAACGGATATAGCTTAGAGATGCTATGCTCCAACTTTCACTGCGGATAGAACAACTCTACGAAGATATAACGCGAGCTAAAGACCTTGTAAAAACACAGTATGTTATCATCACCGAATATTTTAATTCAAAAATAGGGCGGCGAATACCAAGCGACTCAGACTACATAGGAAATTTCGGTCTAGGCAACAGAAACACCAGAGGAGAGACATTAGCAAATTACGTAAGCACCGAAGAAATTTGCCTGAACATGTTTCTATAAAAAACAAATACAAAGAAAGTGAACATGGCCCTGACGGCCAGGTTAAGAATGAAATAGATTTTATTCTTTCCAGTGATAGATTAATGTGTAAAACATTGAGGTACTGAACAAATTTAACACGGCAGTGACCATAGACTAGTTCGTGCCGATATACGTATTAACGTAAAGAGAGAAAGACGAAAACTATTAACAACAAACCCTTTACCGACCCCAGACATCCTAGTCAGTAATAAAGAGAGATACCAAGAGGAATTGGCACGGAAACTAGTAGCAAATACCTTTGAGCACAAGATATAGATGAACTAGCAGAGAAAATAACTAAAGACATACAAACAGTCACGAAGAAACTTTGTTGCAGAATAAGAAAACAAAAAGAAGCTAAACTAAAACCCGAGACTCTAGAACAAATAGAGAAAAGAAGAATAACGAACAGAGATAAGCCGGACTATGAAGCGCTTAACAGAATCGTTAAGAAAAATATTCGAAAAGACCTCAGAGCTTATAGAAACAGGTTCAGGACCGAGAAGAATCACGACGGCCAGAGAAGAGAGTTCTTTACAACGCACTTCTTTGCAAAATCGGTTCTTTACGGCTAGATCAATCCAAAACCGGTTTTAAAATGCTCACGGGTGGACTTTAAGCATTTCTACCGGGGAGAAGAAGGTTGAGGGAATTTGGTCTAAGGGCTCACTGTCCAGCAACAGGACCTTTGTTAATAGCAGCACATCGACAACGCCGACTACAGTTTGGATAGAAGATTGGAAAAATGTTTTTAGTGATGAGTCCGTATTGGTTTTGGAGGAGGTTAGGTAATGTTTTGGGCATGCATTTCATTCGAGGGCGGTACTGATCTCGTATTTATTGATAGAGGAGCGTTGAATGCACACCGATACATTATCGAAATTCTAGACGAGCATGTAATGCCTCTTGCTGGGTTTGTCGGCGAAAACTTTTATTTTTATGCAAGACAACGCGCGGCCACACGTAACCAGGATGGTAACGCAATATTTGGAAACCGTCGGTGGGCCAAAAATGAACTGGCCGGCTCAAAGTTCAGATTTGAACCGATTGAACATGTTTGGAGCCAACTCAAACGGAGGGTAAGAAACCGAATACCTGCTCCAATAAATCGTGAGCAGCTTTGGTTGACGCTCATGAAAGAATGGGAAGCTTTTCCTCAAAACGACATCCAGAATTTGATCAATTCAATGCCAAATGGAATGAGTAGTGTAATAGAAGTGATAATACACAGTATATAATCACAACTTAATTGTAATTTTATAAAGAAAACAGAAAAAATGTACAATGTTAATTTTTTTTTATTTTTCAATAAAATCATTATTTTGGAAGAGTTATTTTTTGACATTTGTTATTTAAAAAATGATTGCATACTGCTTTAGAACATATTCTTTAATATTACACAAATATCTAATGACAATTACGTTGGGGTATGATTCGTAAAAATTAATAAATGGCAAAAACTTTAGGTGGCCTCTTTTTCGTGACGCGCAGTGTATTATAAAAAATTTGACTTATTCATCACCAACTCACAACATGAAACATTTTGCGAAAATAAAGTTTGTGTATGTTTTAAATTTGAAAGAACTAAATGGAAAAAAATGCTTTACGCTGTTTGTATTATTATATAGTTTCTTTTGACGGACCAACAAGTTTCGAAAATTATAATTAATGCCTGCACTCTGAATTTGTATAAATATCAGTACCATGTACATTTTTAATCATTCTGTAACATTGCATTTTGTTGACTTCATTTTCATTGACTTCGGTTCATGGTGGCCCCAGTTTTATAGAAAAAAAACCTGCCTAAGTGATGATTCGTATGACAAAAATGTCCCAAGAAACCAAAAAGAGCTTTTGCCATATCACAATACAGAGGGATGACTTTTTCATCAAAGAATCCTAACACGGTTCAATGTAAGATGAACATCGGCGGCTTCATAATGGATGAATTCAAACTACGGAATGCAGTACAGCCAATTCAGGCTTCTACTATAAAGAAGAGATTATTCAACTGTACTTCCAATTAACAACAAGAAAATTTAAGACATGAAGAAAACATTGGTATACATCCTGGAAGAAAAAATGAATTTTTGGAATCCGATTTTGCCATGGTCAATTACACCGGCATTTGTCGAAGAAAACTAAAAACTTGAACTGAAATTTACTTTAGTAGTAGAAGTTGAAATGAAGTTTTAATTTATGATTTAATTGCTGCATTTTATGAACAGGATATTGTTTTATTTCACTAAAATTAATTCTCATAAAATATTCTGTTTAAAAGTTTATTGTTTATGGCAGAAAAGGAACATATCCTTAACACAAAAAAAATTCTCTACCCTCTCCTCTTAAAATATTTAAATATTTTATAAGTATGTAATAGTCCAGAATGTTCAATCACATAAACCTTAAATGCAAAAAAAATAATACCAGTAGTGTGTTTAAGTTTACCAAGTTTTTTGTTTCTCCTGAAAAATTGGCTAAACTGGACTTATTGCCTTTCTGCAGTTAGCGATTCAATTATTGGTTCTATCTGAAATTTTGAGGATTTATTAAAAACCAATATTCAACTTTGGGCGGAATCACAAATGCCTAGGTTGATTTTTTACAATAGTTATAAACAAATAACGTTTTTGCAGTTTTTAAACAACAAATTAATTTTACAACTTTTAAAAATCGCCATTTTACACCTTTTTTTATTTTTTAAAAGATAAAGTTTTGTAATTTTACCTCAAATATTAAGCTTTTTAATGATAAGCCAAAAATCGAAAGAATGGAATTTTTACACTAAATTGTTAATAAATAATAAAAGACGCCGAAATTTATGCGAAAAACATATAGCTTTTCTTTATATGGGACTATAATAACTAAAAAAATATCAAATATCTGCATTAGTCACAGTCACGAGAGGAATCTTATTTCACCGGTCTATAGCTACCTTAAACCATTGTCGGCATATTTTAATTTTCACATAATGTTCTTTGCAATAAAACCGTTTCTGAATGTTTACAGTATACCAACATTAAATGTATATAGTTCCAAAAACAATTTGAGTAACGAAATATAAATAAAAATTAATTATTTTCCCGACGAATATATTAACAAAACTTTTTTGTATTTCACGCATGCAGAAAGGCAAAATTAATTAATTTATTGAGACTTATGACAGCCGATAGTATATAGTACGCTGATCATTCATAAATGTGTTGATAATTACGTAATTTTTAAATTTGATCTATTTTTTTAAGTAGATTGTTGAGTTTTTGTCTATCCATCTTTTTTTGAGTTATTATGAATTCTGACCATTTTATACAAATAGTTTTCTCATAAATAATATTATAATTAAACTTTGATAGTATACAAGACAAGTAGCGAACACAGTGATTAATTAAATCTTGCCCAAGTACTTTCGATCAATAGATCATCTTTAGGGGCATTTCGTCAGTTGTGGCCTATCCGACATAAGTAGAATGTCATACATGTAAATTTGGACATAGCAATACAATACACAAAGACAAAAAACACTTTAAAATTTTTTAAAAAAAGGAGAAGCTACATGTTATATAGAAGCCGGAGACAGAATCTCAGAAGAATAGAATAATATTATAATTATTCAATCAATGTCTTATGCAAAAAGAAAGGATTTAAGGGACGCTACTTACACATGTTTATGAACAAGACAATATCACCCTAGTGGTATCA